ATGGAATATTTGGAGTCTGATTTTCACTGTATGACCACATATAAAGACGAAGCCTCATCTTTTGTCGTGTGTCGTCCCCCCTGACTGCCCATACTTAATCTGACTGACTCGCTCAAACCAGCCCACTGCTCACAGGCCTATGTAACCATGGATATCGGACAAGCCACATCTTAACTGGAGGAAACTCGCAACAGTTTCACAGAGGCACGGCGAGTGTATCATGTAAAAGCTGGCACCAACCACATCTAGGAACCGAGCTACTCCATACTACTAAGACTACTCTTACAATACTTCAAGCCAAAATTTACACCGGAACATGTCGAGGTAGAAAAAACAAGGTAGCAGCTACATAGTTGTTATTACTGGTCGGAGATGTCGCTGATATACAGACGCATGTGACCTCGTGCCCCACATGGCAACACATGAAATCGTAGCCCGAAGGACAGCTGCAACCGATACCACCCCCAGGGCATGCCTGGCAGAAGGTGACGATGGACCCCGTCACGGGTTTGCCTATCGGCGCAAGTGGTAACAGTACGATATTCGTGGCTCATTTTAATTCCTGCAAGAGAACCATCTTTGCTGAAGAAACAAACAAATTGTTCATCTCCGTCGTCGTTCGCCTCTACGAGATACCAGCGGAGATTATCAGCTACCGCTATACAATTTCATGAGTAGCTTCTGGATAAGTTTGGGGCTGCAGTTTGGCACACGACTATAGTTCAGTTCGTAATTCCACCCAAAAACTGGCCGACAAATCGAACTTACCAACGAGACGATCCAGCGGCTTCGAAACAACAGCTGCCACTCATCGAATTTGCATGCAACAACTCGCCACCCGCACCACCCACCAATCACCACTCTTGCTCAACTACGAACAAGACTCCACAAAAAAGATAACTCAAAAAACCGACGGCCTAGTACCACGTGCATAGCGATATGCCGAAGTTCTATTTGCTGCCCATGCTCGTGCAGCAGAATCCAAAAACAAACAGAATCGCAAAGCGCAATGTCGACTGCCATCGCCGCCCTGTCACATACCAATCTGGAGATTTTGTCATCCTCGACACTCATAACATACGCATGCCGAAAAGTTTTGTGCAAGATACTGCATGTTATTTCAAATGAGCCACATGGTAGCTGCGGTTACGGCACACCTCCTCCTCCCTGTTAACTGGTTCGTCGAACCTTCATTTGAGGTCAACATGCTGTGTCTCTATGTCCCAACTACGAGCCAACTACCGTGCAGTCGCCCATCGCGTATGACAAGAACGCCAGCACAACCAGTCATCGATCGGAAAAAAATCGAGTTCGTGATTGATGTGGAGCTCAAAACTGTCACATGCTGGAATGCCAGTATACTAACAAAGACAGTAGGGTGCCATTGGAAATAAATGAAAACCACCCCGTTCTTTACGCCTACCTCCGCAACCATTATCATTGAGATGTAAAAACACTTTCGTAAGGGGGGTCTCATTTGAGAGGGGGGGGCGTGAGGGATCATTTTTTTCTGTACTCTGCACCACCCGTCATACTGTATTAGAACATTGTACACGCCACCCACTGCCATTTCCATCACGTTTCAGCCTCGCCATATTCTCCCTCGCCACTGTTCACGCCCTCACAACCATCGCGCCCAAACCGCACGCTTAGGCTGGTAAGTCGTGACATATGGCCCTACACCTCTGACATTTTCCATCCTTGGCGCTAGGCCCATAGAGCACCCCATTTTTTTGCTTGTTGCCGTTACCAACTGTTTCGCTGTATACCATTTGCCCACACTTTCACCTACGTTGTTCAATATTTTCGGTAGCACAATCCTCGTTCCTTCACTTAAATGCACTTGTAATTATAACACAAGTTATCTGATTTGTGTATATATCGTCCGAATATGGGGAGTGGCGCATTTGAGAGGCATGCTAGGAGCGACCGCCAATTGGATGATGAAGACAAATGCATCCACAATGACTGTACTGTCGGCAGCAGCGAAAACGATATCGGCAAATACTCACATGCAGCCGTACGGTTGCGTGAAATGTCGCAAAGCATCGGTCATATGAAACATCCGACCCGTATCAATCGGAATTCGGATGCTCGATGATGATTCGTGCTGGTGGAGATCCATTGCTCCACTAGTCGATGGATTTCATTGATACATGACAATTCGAAAGCACGCACCAATTCACACAAACAACGACTTGTTGCACCAGCCCTGAGTAGGAATGACACTTTGTGGAGTGAGCGATTCACAACAGATATCTAAGTCACATTTCCAACATTAGACGAGGTAAAAATAACATCGAGATGTCAAGCTAAAACGAAAGACATCAAAATGGTGCACCCGCAGATTGCAGTAGCTTAAGTAATGTTACTTTGTAGCCAATAGGTATTTGCCATTCTTAAAAAACTTTCGAGCTTCAATTGTTTTGCATCATTTGACTAATCGAGGTGTATCTTTTTACTTGTGTTAGCAAGGGTGGACTTCAAAATGCGTAGTTGTTAACGTAGTGAACATTCATCCTGTTTTAGCATTAGAGAGACTGTAAAATTAACTGTTATTTAGCTGGCCTTTTTCAAGTTTACCAAGGGAAAAAAGGGAGTGTACACTTTTTTTTATTCCTGAGTTTCTTCGGTTACTTACCTTGGTTTGCCTTGATAATTGTGTAATTGATGTGCATTTTTTCATATGTACGCAGTTTGTGTGCCTGGGTAACTGTGTAATTGATGTGTCTTTTTCCATATGTACGCAGTTGGTGTGCCTGGGTAACTCTGTAATTGATGTGTCTTTTTCCATATGTACGCATTATACGTGACTCTAAACGATGTACCGTTTCTGTTTTCGAACGCACGATGTCCCTAGTTTTAGGAGCGCTCTAGCAGATGCACAGAATAAGGTTGGACATCATGTGTATTACAAAGTACAACTGCTAGCTGCCAAGGCTCACCTAGGATGGCATCCTCTATCAATTGCGGCTGCTTCTGATTCATGCACATGCTGGCACGGATGGCATGTTTTGTTGGAAGTGGAAAATACAGCTGCGATGCATCGCGTCACGTCATCGTCAGACTCACTTATTCCTCACCTCTCTATTGGCTGGCTACTGTCACCTCCACGTGACACATTTTGCTGTGAGTTTTTCTCACCACACTCTCCGAGATTTGCTGTGGCAGGTTTGCTGTCGCATTAATTCTGACCACGAATCCTTGCCCTTCGGCGGTTAGCGTAACCACGGACCACACATATAGAGTTGTAAAAATCGTCCAAATGCAAGATACGTCAGGGCATCCCGCCCTACACATCATGCTTCACAATTCCTTTCCACCTCATCCTTCACTGCCCTGACCATTCTCTTGCCGCAAGAGGAACTATTGTACGGCTACACTTTGAGGCTTGATAAATAAACATCCCTAGAAATCGCCTATTTGCAGCTTGATACTGGCAACTGCCGCTTGTTTTTGTCCGCTCCATCGAATATTTTACCAAAACTAACACGACTGTTTTAAACTTGGAGAGAAAAATGTGTTCATAATTATTCAGAAACCGCTGTTACCTGGACTCAACAAGGGTTTTCATCCGTACTATCTCGAGATAATCCGAACATGAACCTTCGAAGTTCTCAGTTGCCCGTGGCGAAATGCATTTTTACAATTCGGTTTAAGGTTAGTCGTAGGTGAGTGTAAGGTGCGTTTGGTGTACGTTTTTCGCACGAAACAACGTCGTGATTCACCACCACCACCACCACTACTACACCCTTTTTTCGACATTGTAAACTCGGTTATATTGAAGTCCAGATGGAAAAAGCACGGTTAGCGGTGGTCAAATTAGGTCTTGGTATGGTCCAATCTGACAAATCAAATATAACAAGGTTTTCCACCAGTTCGGCACAGTTCAGTGTAGTGAGAAACAGGGTGTACAAGCAACTGTGTGCTGGTGCGCCCAAGCAACCAGCCCAACCAATCTCGAACCAAACCAGCGAAACAAGGTTCATTACATTTTACCCCGCCAAACACCTTAAAATTCACAGCACTCCACTCCACTAAACGTCATTGGAATCTAAGCGCCACAGATTCCCAAAACAGGCCCACGTGATTTATTGGAAGCATGGGAGGAGGAGGAGGCTTCACTCCCCCATCAGATCACTAGTGACCGACACTGGGTGGAGAGAAGGAAGGACTCGGAGCTGGGGGCGGGTAGCACTCATTGGGGGAAGTCTAAAGCCCTGAGTCTTCTGGAGTCGACGATTCAAATTACCCTTTTTGGATTGAACGCGTCATAGCCTTACACCACGTTCTGCTGCCAAATCAGGGTAATTTTTCATAGAGTACAGCCTGCATCCCACAGCCCTTCCCTCCCTCCCACCCACCCCTTCGCTCCCTTCCCTTCCCAGCTCCTCCTTTCAGACCGTGCAGCATCGTGCATACAAGCATCAGTTCAGTTACATCGGTTCGGTTTCTCCGTTTCCCGCATTCAAGCCTTTCAGTTGGCCTCATTGCGGAAGAAACCAATTGCAGGTTTTCTGTCGCGTATCCTCTCGCCGTTTTCTCATCCACAAGCACGGCAGCCAGTGCATCTTGTGGCCTCCATCTCTTTCCCTCCATTTTCAAGTCTGGAGGATGCATGAGTCGTAAGAACGAGCATCTTTATAATTCTCCCTCCAGCATAAAGTCCGACCAAGCCATTCGCTACAGAAGCTAGCATCGCGACAACGTCCATTCTAGAGCAAACTTCTCGCTTAGGTGGGCAATACAGTACTGTACTATGCTAGACAGGTTCCTTGCTGCACCTTCTTTCTAGTCGTTTAGACGCGCTCCGTCGAAAAGTGTCGCATACCTTCACAAGGAATTACCAAACCTTGTGCCTTACTCTTCCAGCTCTGGCGTTTTAGATCCAGCGTACCATCATCAATATACTTCATGCTTCGTCAGATGATCGGGTTTCTCGTTTAGCTCCGTGTGCTGCTGGACCACTTGTTCTTTATCATCTCTGACCGTCAGCAACAATGGCGGCTGTTGACTGGCTACGGCAGGAGTCCGCCTTTCAAAGGCCTCCGGCGGCTTCCATCCCCTCCCCACGCGTTTCCTTCCCTCAAGAATTTATCTGCCCACTTTCTAGCGAGGTTATGCGCGACCCCGTCATAATCAGCTCCGGCAAAAGCTTCGAGCGCGTCTACATCGAGCGCTGGTTCGCGCAAGGAAGGTCCACTTGTCCCAAAACCGGCGAGCCGCTCGCCCACCAGATGCTCACTCCCAACGAGGCGCTTCAGAAGCTCATCTCCGATTGGTGTAAATCTCACATGGTCACGCTCAAGCCTCTCCGCCCGTCGAGCCCGCTGACGCCAGCTGCGGAGAATACGCGCAACCCGTCGATTCCGCCATCCCCCGGCGCTTCTGGAGAACAGTTCAATCTGGCGAAGGCTCGGGCAGCAGCAGCGGCGGCAGCGGATCGCGCAGCCGCAGGTTCCGCCGAGAGCTCCGCCGCGACCGGCGGCGGAGGCAGCGCGGCGTCGCCAAGAATATCCCCGCTGTCGGTTCTCGAGCGGCGCCATTCCATGCAATCCAGTAGTGACGGCAGCTCCGCTGCAGGCGCTTCGACCACGGGCAGCTCAGCAGGCGGTTCAGGTCCTGCCGCGGTAGAGACGCCTAAAAAACTCAACAATTCCTCCTCTGCTAACGCCTACGTTTCCGCCGGTCCCGCCGCTGCGAACATGCCGCCAGCTATTCCTAAGCATCTTCGGCCAAGCGCGAACGACGGCCCTCTTCAACGGACGATGTCGCCCCGTAGGAAAGGGGAGCTGTCGCCTGCAACTCCGTGCGACGCTTCTGCGAGCCCGAGGATGCTGCCTCGGAATAGCAGCGACCCGTGGCTGTCGTCTGCGGATGAAGATGCGAAGAACGACGAAGCGCTCGGGTCGTTCTTGGCTGGAAACACGGGGGGTAACGCGGGAAGGGCGCAGCGTCAGGGGTCGCGTCGCGGATCCGCGTCGCCGCAGGAGGCGGTGCCGTATTCGAAGCAGTTTCTAAGCGCGACTCCGACGCGACGAAGCCGGCGCACGAGCGAGCAGGGCTCTGTTACTGAGATGCGACCTTTAATCGACGCTCTGCGAACGGGCGACGTCGCACAACGTCGTGAGGCGGTTCATACGCTGAGGATCGCGCTAAAAGAGGCGCCGGAGAATCGCACGCGATTGGTCGCCGCGGGGGGCATCCGACCGTTGATGCAGATGCTGCTGTCAACGGACGGTCCGATCGTCGAGCAAGCGTCGGCCGCGACACTCTACCTCTCTCTTCAATGGGACGGCGCCATGGAAGTCGTCTCCGCCGGCGGCGTTAGGAACCTGGTCGAAGTTTTAAAGACATCGCGCGGCGGGATGTGTTTAACTCCGAGGGGTGCTAATGATGCAAGCAACGGCTCGTTGATGAGTCCTAGACCGGACGGATCGTTCGAGGCGACTGAGGTGGCGAAATCGAACGCCGCGGCGGCACTCTTCGCGCTATCGAATGCGGAGGAAAACAAGAAGGTTGTGTGGTCGGCTGGAGCTGTCCCGCCGCTGATTAATCTCCTCCGTAAGGCGACGTGCGCGCGCACCAAGAAGGATTGCTGCCTTGCGCTTTACAACCTGTCGTTATTTCCGAAAGCTGCGGAGGACGCAATTAAACACGGGCTGGTTCGCCAAGTGTTTGCGCTGCTAGAAGGGGAGGACGAGGCGGGAGTGGAGGAAAAAGCGGCGGTGTTGCTTTGCGCGTTAGTTAAGTACCCGCAGGGTGTTTATGCGTTGAGAAAAGAGGAAGACGTGGAGTTTACCCTAATCGGGATTATGGAATCTGGTTCCGAAAAGGCGGCGGAGCTTTCGGCAGGAACGTTACTTTCGTTGGCGAAGGCCGATGGCGACGACGCGATGAGCGAAATCCTCAGCGAGGGGTGTTTACCGCCGTTGGTGAAACTCGCGGGTAACAGCAAGCCGGATTCGGATTCGCGAGCTTTGCTCGCGATGCTTCGTGAGTTCGCTCAGATCAGATCGGGCGGCAGTGTAGCTGGGAGCCAGCCTGGCACGCCCATGGCAGGGAGCAGGCCAACCACACCCTTGGGACGCGGAATGAGATAATGGAGATAGAATGTAGGTGAAGGAATAGGGACGGAAGGAGAGGCTGAAATACGGATGCAGTTTGTGCAGGGGCAATGCAGGGTGAAGGACCAAGACACGGAAGAAGCAAGACGAAGGCATGGATGGAAGGCCAGTGTCTGTGGTTTGGTTCAGCTGCTGCAGGGCGTGAGAAGCGGTCACACATGACATGATATTGAATCTGCTGGAGTGCTGCAGGAGTACTTATGAGAGGGTGGAGAGGAGTTATGAGAGGCTGGTGAGGAGTTATGGGGGGCTGGAGAGACGTTTTTAAGGGCGGAGAGCAGTATGAGAGGCCAGAGAGGAGTTCTGAGAGGCTGCGGTGTTGGCTGGTTGAGACTGGAAATGGAGTGCAGGTGAGTCCAGCTGGTAAGGGATTTGGATGTGACTGTCTCCCAGCTGAGCAGACAAAGGTTTTGCAGCAGGTTGAACATAGTTTTGGGAGAGGGAAGGAGAGAGAGAGGTGGGTTGGGGAATGTTTCTGAGATTAATATTGGGCTTGGGTTGGGAGTATCAGGTAAGTAGGTACTACCACTTGGGTAGTTTTTTCAGACAAGACATTTGGTCTCATCTGAGTTTTTCTTACCAGACATTTGGTCTCATGATGAGACTCATCTGAAATGAAACCTCTTTGATTTGGTCATTTCAGGACTTCCATCGGTGCACTCTCAATATGCTAGATTATAGTTACACATGGTAGATTATGCAGCACGTTCGCATGTGGAATATGTGCGACATTATGTTATGGTATTGCTGAAATGGTGTTCGATACAACATTTCAAAAACTCAGAAGCATTGTCGTATTTTCCGGTACTAGTAATGCCGTGTCGAATACATCTGTCTAGATTTGGAGGTGGCATTCTTTCTTTCCCAATGAGTAGAAACATTCTATGACCCGATGAGAACCGTGTTCTGGTCGTCTCCATCTTTTGAGAGAAACATTTGGTTCCACCATGATTTTAGAGGGAGCAATGACAGAAACACTTTGTTCTGTACGTAGTGTCAAATCATACGGTATGCAATGCATGTTATATATGTGTAGGTTGTAGTGGGGTAGCCAATATGGGGTACAACCCCATTAGGGTTTCATATTTGTACCAAACCCTGATCTAGTCAATTCATCCATGCTACTACAGTCTAACATGGTATCAGAGTTGCTGCGGGTGCTGGCGCTGGAGGTTCTGGAGCTGTTGGAGGTGCTGGCGCTGGTGGCGCTGGAGCTGGAGGTTCTGGAGCTGCTGCGGGTGCTGGCGCTGGAGGTTCTGGAGCTTTTGGAGGTGCTGGAGCTGGTGGCGCCGGAGCTGGAGGTTCTGGAGCTGTTGCGGGTGCTGGCGCTGGAGGTTCTGGAGCTGTTGGAGGTGCTGGCCAGGGCCTCAGATTGGTTTCGGGCTAGGCTGAAAGATCAGAGTTGGTAAAAAAATCCATGCTGAAAAACAGAGAAATCAGCCCATTTTATGCCATTTTACACTACAAATATAGTAAAAAATCCTGTTTCTTCCCAAAAAAATGCTGAAAATTCAGCCTCAATTCTGAAAAAGGTCTGAAATCTCAGCCTTTTTTACCTAAATCAGCCTTTTTTCGCTGACTTCTGAGGCCCTGGTGCTGTCGCTGGTGGCGCTGGAGCTGGAGGTTCTGGAGCTGCTGCGGGTGCTGGCGCTGGAGGTTCTGGAGCTGTTGGAGGTGCTGGCGTTGGTGGCGCCGGAGCTGGAGGTTCTGGAGCTGCTGTGGGTGCTGGCGCTGGAGGTTCTGGAGCTGCAGGAGGTGCTGGAGCTACTGGTGCTGGTGGCACTGCACCGTCGCGACTGTTCTTCGCTCCGCCGTCGCCTTCGTCTCTGCCACCGCCTGGCTCCGTGCTTCGCCAGGTTCTTAGCCTCCCGTCTTCTACTGGTCTTCCGTTACAGCCTGGCTCACCGCTGCCTGCTCCTTCTCCTTACACTGAGCTGACAGGCGGTCTTGCTGAGCGTCGTGAGCCTGCGTCTCGTCCTGTCTCGCCTGTTCGCACTGGTCGTACTGGTCGTCGTGTTCCTCGTCCGCGTCCGCCGGCTGTCCCCGGAACACACCTCATGGCCCTGCGTCCTTCCTCTGCTCCACAGCGTGTTCCCCTGCCATCTCCTCCTGCGTCTTCTCTGCCTGTCGTTGCTGACCCTGAGTCTGACCGGTTTCGTACTGAGCACCCTACTGTCACGCGTCTGCTAGCCACAGTTGTCACTGACCCGTCGTTTGAGTCTGCTGCTGCGTCTGCCTTAGTCGCTGAGCTTGTTGACTTTGCTGCTGTCTGCGTCTACACTACGCCGCTAATCTTGTTGCTGAGTCTGAGTCTGTCTGTCCTCGGTCCGTCGGGGGTCAGTGCGCTTCTGGCACGGACGTCCTTGAGGACAGGCAGGAGGACCTTGAGTGTCTTGCAGCCGCTGCGCCTCATCTCGTGTCCATGCTGCTTGCCCCTGAGGGAGACCCGGATGCACCAGACATCCCGACTCCGCGATCTTACGCTGAGGCGATTGCGGGTCCCTACTCCTCTCAGTGGCAGACAGCCATGGACGCAGAGATGGCATCCTGGAAGTCCACAGGCACTTACGTCGACGAGGTTCCCCCTCGTGGGGCGAACATCGTCGATGGCATGTGGATTTTCAGGGTGAAGCGGCCGCCAGGTTCTCCGTCTGTCTTCAAGGCTCGTTACGTTGCTCGAGGCTTCAGTCAGCGGGAGGGAGTCGACTTCTTCCAGACCTTCTTCCCCACCCCGAAGATGACCACTCTTCGGGTGCTGCTGCACGTTGCCGCTCAGCGTGACTACGAGCTTCACTCTCTTGACTTCAGCACAACCTTCTTACAGGGCAGCCTGCACGAGGAGATCTGGCTGCGCCGCCCACCAGGCTTGACTGGGTCGTTCCCTCCAGGTACCCAGTGGAGCCTCCGGCGGCCAGTCTACGGTCTCCGCCAGGCGCCGCGTGAGTGGCACGACACACTGAGGACGACACTTGCGGCTCTTGGGTTTGCTCCGTCGACTGCTGACCCGTCGCTGTTTCTGCGCACCGACACTTCGCTGCCGCCGTTCTACATCCTCGTGTACGTCGAGAACTTGGTCTTTGCCACTGCTGACACTGAGGCTCTCGCCCTAGTAAAGTCGGAGCTGCAGAAGAGACACACGTGTCAGAGGTCCACTGGTGATCCCCGATTGATCCTAGGGAAGGGTTACAGGCATGTTGGCCTGGGGGGTTATGGGCGCACTGACCCGCTACTTAAAAAGCCCTTTTATCCTAGTGGTCTAGTGCCTGGGATTCGCGCATGGTATCAGAGCGAAGGTCTCGGGTTCGAATCCCGGTGTGTGCACTTCGGGCATCCCAGTGCGGGGGGGTGTCAGAGGTCCACTGGTGATCCCCGATTGATCCTAGGGAAGGGTTACAGGCATGTTGGCCTGGGGGGTTATGGGCGCACTGACCCGCTACTTAAAAAGCCCTTTTATCCCAGTGGTCTAGTGGCTGGGATTCTGACAACACGTGCACAGACCTGGGTGAGCTGCGCAGTTACCTTGGCTTGCAGATCACCCGGGACAGAGCACGCCGCACCATCACACTGACTCAGTCACACATGGTGCAGCAGGTCCTTCAGCGCTTCGGCTTCACCTGGTCCTCGGCACAGGCCACTCCTCTGGCTACAGGTCACTCGCGCTCAGCTCCACCTTTGGACGAGTCCGTAGAGCCGAGTGGTCCTTACCCAGAGCTAGTGGGCTGCCTCATGTACCTGATGACTTGCACTCGTCCTGACCTTGCGTACCCTCTTGGCCTTCTGGCTCGCTACGTGGCTCCTGGTCGGCACCGAAAGGTGCACATGGATGCTGCTAAGAGGGTACTACGCTACTTGTGTCGTACATCGGGCATGGGGCTCGTGCTTAGAGGACGGGGCGACGTTGTCCTCACTGGTCACTCAAACGCTTCTTGGGTTGACGACCAGGCTACGCAGCGGTCGTCACAGAGTTACACCTTCAGCCTTGGCTCTGGCTCTGTTTCTTGGCAGTCTACACGCTCTTCCTCTGTTCTCAGCTCCGGTTGCGAGGCTGAGATCTACGCCACAGCCATGGCTGCACAGGAGTTACGCTGGCTTATCTACCTGCTGACCGACTTGGGAGAGCGGCCTCGTTCTCCTCCAGTGCTGTACGTAGACAACAAGGCCGCCATTGCCTTGTGTCAGGAGCACAGACTGGAGCACAGAACGAAGCGCATCGCTCTGCGTTACTTCCTTGCTCGAGAGTTGCAGCAGCGTGGTCAGCTTTGTCTTGCTCACGTGGCCACTCAGGCCAACACTGCTGATATATTCACCAAGGCACTTCCGCATGGTGATCATCAGTGCTTTTGTACTTTGTTGGGCCTTTTGCCTACGTTTCCTCACTTGCTGTAGGCTCTGCCTGTATTGTGATCTATATACATATATACCTGCATGCTTGCTCCTGGTAGATAGAGATCACTGTCAAACTATATATGTGTTAGTTCTGTGTAGGCTATAGTGGGGTAGCCCATATGGGGTACAACCCGAAGTTAGGGTTAGTACTTGTACCCACATTTCATTGAATGCAACCATTCCTGCTTGCTATCTTGACATGGTATCAGAGCGAAGGTCTCGGGTTCGAATCCCAGTGTGTGCACCTCGGGCATCTCAGTGCGGGGGGGTGTCAGAGATCCACTGGAGATCCCCGATTGATCCTAGGGAAGGGTTACAGGCACGTTGGCCTAGGGGGTTATGGGCGCACTGACCCGCTACTTAACAAGCCCTTTTATCCCAATGGTCTAGTGGTTGGGATTCTGACATGGTATCAGAGCAGTAGGTCCGTAGGACTGTTTTTTTTTTTCATGCCCACCATACTTAGCTTCCGACTGCGGTTACCGCGTTACCCCACTACCCTGCGTCGCGCTGCCCCGCGCACGCCCTGCCTTGCCCCGCGTCGTGCTGCCTAGCGCACGCCCTACCCTGCCCTGCCTGGCATCACCCTG